CAGTGTCCTACATATATATATATATATATATATATATATATCACTTCATTTTCACTACTGATGTGGCCCTCTAACAAAACTTTGCATAGGAAGCGTTGTTTTTATGGCTACTTTTCAACTGGGAATCCCAGGCGTAATGAACCAAGTTGGTCAGTGACAGAGTACACAGCGTTCTTGTTTTGTTCCGATAGCTTCCAGAAGATATCCATACGATTTGTCGAGTTTGATGCTCTAAACCCTCGGTTCTTCCTTCGATCTAGCTTCTCGGTTGATTCCGTCCACATTTGGACAACCGTTTTGCATTTCAATCCGCGTGACTCTTACGAATAATTACATTGCACAGCTGTAATGCAAAAGAATCCCACGTCTGGCACAGTTAGGTGGGTACGTACTGATCATGTCTCCTCGAGTGGTGACGAAACATTTGCAAGTCAATTTCCAAGCTCGGCGAACACATCAACAGTCACCTAATCAACAACCAATGAACTCACCCGAGCTACCAATATTTCAACACCTTAACGATATCAAAGGTTCTTATTACTACTTCGAGGTGGTGGGCCATCAGCGATGTTTGTTCCCATTGTTCATAGTATGTACTACCTATGTGGAAGCTTACCGATACACTTTTCCACACTGAATCTCTCCCAGGTGTAGATTAAGGGCATCTACCGCTTTTTTCGTTCACTCTCTAGGTCTCTCGGAAACCCGCTTCTTTGAGGGGTCGATCAGGCGATGACAAACACGAAGGCGGACAGACAGACGAACGGTACCCGGGTGATATATCCGGTCAGAAACGGCTTTCAAGTACGCTGTGTTTTCGACCTTTAGGACAACCGTATCAGCCGTTGTTATGCACGTTTGTTCGGACACCACCTTGGTTGTTAATAGGCCATCATTTGGCCTTGACTCATCGGTATTCCCGCAACCCTCCTCATGTTCGAGTTTTTTCTGGTGTTTCTGATCATTCAGCATAACCAGTCGCTTCTTATGGACTAAGGTCGAGGTAATTAAAGTCGCGATAG